TTCAACTTTTGGCGAAAATGAATCATATTTTGGGAGTGTGTACGCAAGTCTTCCCCAACGGATGATATAACTTTCCTGCGGAGCAAGTTGTTTTCCTTATCTGTAAGTATCGTTAATAGGTTGTCTGGATATCCCCATTTGGAAAAATTGGAATCTTGGATCGCATTGCACTTCTCCTGATACATGGATTAATCGCACGGCAGTCACCAGTCCACTTCTCGGTCTGATCAAAAAGCTTCCAAATGCATCATTTCTGGTCCCAAAACAAACTGGGTTCGAGTTAACCTTTTCCCAACCTGGCCCAATGAATAACTAGACAAAATGATCAGTTGTCACGGTCTTTAAATACTTAAAAATGATATCCTACTTAGCGGCTTTAGGGGGAGGGAGGGGGAAAACGCTAGGGAAGGAGGGTGGAGTGTCTGCTAGAACGAGCCACTGAATCGTGTTACCACCTACTCACAAATTCAATTAACTTGTCAACTTACAGAGCTTACCGGAGCTTACCGTATGTTATGACAATTGACCTTCATCTTTCTAGTAAGAAGAGACTGACGAGAATGCAAAAGGTTCAACTGAGAAAATATGACAATGAAAACAGATTTGGTTCGGCTGTACGCAGACTTCACAGGTCTACATATTCACGGGTGCTATTAGAAACCTCTTCTCTTTGCAACATGACAAAAATTATAATTTGAATCTATATAGCCTATCCAACCGCGTCGTTTTTAATCTAGCGATCAATTAATTCACCTTTGTAACCATCTCTCTGTGTTGTTTTAGTTTCAAGTGTTCTCGCAATAGCCTGGATATCGACAAATGTGACAAGTCTGCATTAGCAGACCATGCTAACCACACAGGACATGATATCGCGTGGCGAGAGTCCTCTATCCTCGCCCAAGAACCTAGATGACTACAAAGACGCTGCCTTTTTAACAAAAATAGTGGACGAACTCTGCCTGATTCTTATAAAGAACTCTTAACACATTAACAAGTCTTAACATTTTATCCTTTTCTATTGTAATCCAATTCTAAACTTTTGTGTTTACAAACATGAGTGCGTTGGATTTGTTAGTGCGTTAGTGTGTTAGTGCCCTCAAGGTTATACGGCCGAAGTACAGACACTGAGGATGGTCGTACCTGSGTCCTCAGTGGTTCTTTAACGTCCACTTACAGGGTTAGAGTAGAGTAGACGGGACCTCCGATTTAACGTCGTTATMCGAGAGGACGTGAAGATCTTACCATTTGCAGATGGAGAAACAAAGGCAGCAACTTCTACTCAATTATTTTAAGACCCTGGGTATTCACGTCCGGCCAGGCCCATAACCTCCCGTATTGTAGCCCGATGCTCAACCAACTGAGCCAATCGGTATGCGGTCTTAAGCAGTTACCATAGCGTTTTGTTTACATTTGTATCCTCACGTACGCATTGTAATTTCATTTTCCCTGATGATGGCAAAAAAGATTTCTTTTGTTATTGTCTGACTAATCTAATACAGAGAGCATTTAGAAAAGCTGAGCATGCTTAAATAAGTTAGGAAATGCCATACTTCATGATATCAGGTTGCCATTTTCTTTAAGAAGCCAGGCGGGCACTCCATGTAAATCAATTATATTTCTAAAAATGTCTGCTCATCTCAGCTTAACATACGGAGAATGACCCGTCAAAGTCGTATTCACTGCTAATTCCAACATGTCGTTCTTATAGCAATTGTAACGATCTTGCGGTATCCACATTTCAACCTATAAAGCTAAACCACTCAAACATTACTTTGATTGAATTATGGTGCATAGGTATGTTTTAAAAGGTAGATGTTAAAAATCTAAATCTAATAACTTGACCTAAGTGTAATAATGGTACTAAATGTAATAAGCATTGGACCTAATAACGATAATAAGATAATAATAATAGCATGTTTTGTAGTGGTATTTGGGGAACCACCCCTATATAGATTGGGGAGTATCACAAGGTAAATTCATCTAGTGTCCGTCACATCTACAGCTGCTCGTAGGTGATCGACTTGCTCTAATTGTGAAAGAAGATCATTATAAATACGATCTTTATGATTCCAATATAGAAAATTAGCCGACAGTGTTGTTCATCACTTGAACTCAGCAAGGTATTTTAGATGTCATTCATTGCTAATTTCATTATTTTCTGACGCATTTTCTCAACAATGAAGTTTACTTTTATTTTTACTCATCATTCAAAACGTAGTTCTTTGTGAAATTGATTTGCAATACTCGCCACAGACCTATCTTTGAAGTTCTCGAGCCCGCCATTTTGGAAGACCATTATCGAAGAATAAAACCATTAAAAGATTTTTCTGAGGGCTTCTATTGTATTGTTTTGGTGGCACATGATGCCCCAAAAGCAAGCTTCTATTCCGAATACGGCACTTATAGTTGTGTACGTCGAGTTCCATTGATTTTTTTTACCATTTTATTAACTTGCTACCAGCACACCATGACAAGAATAATTTGAGAACTTGTATGAGGATATAAATGCGCATCATGTGACCCAATAGTTCGATACTCATTGGACTAATAGCTCATTAATTATTAATGAGTTCTAAAAATGCACCTCAATTATTATTTTTTGGCCACTTAAATTTATATATGGGCACTTCAATTAACGCTTTTAATATTTTGGTTACTTAACTATTCAAATACCGATAGATCTATAGTCGGCGATTGTTTATGTAACCACCCTCTATTCTTGGCAACTTTCACAAACAATACAAGTCGCATATCATTTTTTATTTATATACAACAGGAAAATATAACTATACGTTTTCGGAAATAAATTCTACACTTTTCAATGCATGATCTGAACTACAAATAGGTTCCATTTTATCGTTCATCTATAGATACACAAATGACGTCAAAATGATAATAATARTTCTTTATTCCGTAAATACCAGAAATGGTACATTAGAAMATAAAAATTAACTTWAACAAAAAGATATACTAGCTGTCTAAATTATTGTACACATTTAGAACATTAAAACAATACTTCGCAGTTAAATTTATAATAGAGTCATCTTTCATTGACAATATACATAGGAATAAGMAATGATAACCTGKGAAGGCTTTGAAAGAGTTATTTTTGTTATGCAAGCTTYCCATTAAATCTTTTCTTAGCATAACCATTTCGTTGTTATTGCATGCTATTAAGTAATGAAATGCATGCGTTAGCAAGTGTAATGAGAACAAAAATGTATGATTAGCCACTATCGAAGGTCTTAATTTTATATAAAAAAAGAGTTGCAGAGCTAGGCCTCTTATGAGCGAATTGAATTGACATCAGTATAATCCATAACCACATCAGTGGCGCAAAATTTTGGAAAAAGTTTTAAAATTGATTTAAAAAAATTCAATAGTTTTTAGCTTTTTATTATTGTTTGCTTCCAAGGCGTCAGAAAAGAATATCGCGGCGCGTGAATAAACAATTAGAATTTTGAACTACACATTAATTGATTAATAAACATTTGCTAAAAGTA